GGGGGGGGGCCCCCCCCCCCCCCCCCCCCCCCAGAGGGGCATGACAATGTTTCTTCATTTTTTGTGCTCTCCTTCTTGGTATTTCAGTAGTCGGGGCATGAAATGGGTCTTGTCTTTTTAAACATCCCGTGGTAGAGGGACGCTGGAACCTTGACGTCGTTAGCGTTCAGCTCCTTGCGCAACTGCTAGATTCATCAGCAACTGGCTTATTAATTAGCCAAGATTTATATCTTACCGGCTTTCAGAATGAATCTTGTTTCCATGCCTCCTTTGGAACAGACTCTGACCACCACGTCTCATTTGCGCATTATTGCGAACAGGTTCGTTTGGAGGCAACCCATTCCACAGAGATCGAGGAAGGAAAAGAAGCATGGAATTCAATAAAGCGCAGACATTTGCATTGGAAATTCATGATTATATCTATATTCATTAAAACTTGCAAGGAGGCGCGGCTCTCGCTCGCTTAGAAGGCAGGGCAAGACGTTCATTTATTGCCCTGTCACGGTTCTATTACTTAGCATAGATGTGTTCGTATATGTCAGAGAGGGAGGGGGAGAGCCAGAGCCACGGCAGTGCATTGTCTCTGCGGTTGCCGGAGGTGATCGTATTTGCCTATATTTTGCTTGAATACAATTGAATAATTCAAGCGGTGAATCATCCCTTCCCTATTAAATATCCCTTGAAATTGTCTTTCGCCTGCGACCACCCATCGATGGCTTCTCTACCTATTGAAGAATCTCGACTTATTTCGGCCAGTCATTGAGAAGACGGCGAAGGAGAATGAGGAACACTTTATTTCCGTCGTTTAGTTTGGTTTTTGTGGGTCAGACCTTCCACAGCATAGGCGAGAGAGTGACAGTGGCCGGTTTCGTGATAACTAGGTGGCAGGGATGAGACGCACAAGCCTGTTGGGGAGAAGAATGACGTCACCGATGATTACGAAATCTACTATCCATCAAGGGTGACGTTGATGAGGGCACATCAAGACAGATTACTGATAGCAACGGGAACGCTTCAATGCGACCTCAATTAATTGGGGTTCTTATCAATTATGATGGCCGCTCCCCTCCCGTTTCTTCAGACAAAGCTTTTCTTTTTCATCCACCTTCCGGGCAATACACAAGACGACTAAGGACTTTTTTCTGAGCAATCTTGGCGTGAGGTATGATGTCTCTATCAAATGATCAACGTAGGTGTTCTATTCTTGGCTACCTTTGCCTGCAGCCGAATTCTTACCGCTTCTGATAATGCTATCAATCGAAGCCTCTGTTCCTGCTCGTGACGCCTGCAACCTGAAAATAGCGAAAATCAAAGGGGGAAAAGGAGGGGAAGATACTGATTCGCCGCACGACGTGATGGCCTAAAGAAATAAACGGGGAGAGAAAAAAAAAACCATTGGCACGGAATGCAGTTGGAAGGCATGACATGAAGCTTCATTTCAAGAGGGTGGCTTGCAGCTCACGCATAGTACTGACTGCTCTTCCCATAAAGAGAGCCCCAAGATGAGGTGATGATGGGTACGCATCATTCGAGGAAGGCTCCATCTCAGGCAATGCCCCGGATGTGATGTATTGCAAATCCCCTTCTACTTCTAGTTCGACGATTCATAGGGACAGAAAGGAGAGAGGGAGAAAGAGAGAGAGAGAGAGGAGGACAACTGGTGGTAGAAAGATATGCGAGTGTATATTCTTGGGAGTGGGGACAGAAATGTCCTAGAGAAGAATCTCGAGGCCGGGTATTCTGCCGCAGGGATTGCATGAGGAGGTGAATGAAACGTGCCTTCTCTCCGAGATCGAAGTCCGCTATCAGGGAAGGAGGAAGTCCTACTGATCACGACATAGTTGTGCGAGGGAATGTGGAGGAGCTACGTAAGCGTAAGCCCGTGCAAGGCAAAGGTGTGACCTCGATTCGTTCGCAGTTCTGCCTGGGCCCTCGACCGTGCCGAGAGTAAAAAGAAAGCGTATCGCGTGACTGCTTCATGCCGGTGTGGAGCCTCTCTGTGCTACGCGCTGTTCCCATCCATCCACCACCGATATTCTTCTCACGTGGCCGAATTGGATTTTCGCAGTCATGTCTCATCCGTCATCTCGGGGTATAGTGTGTCGTCCTTCTCACCGGTGCCAAGGTTCGGAGAGATTCTTTCTTCCAGGCTTTCCACATGACGTTTGGTGGACATATACATGTTTGGATCAGGATTGAAGTTAACAGATACCCGGTATGCACCAAGATATTACAATGGAACTTGTTCTTGTCCATAACGTGTTCGACTAGCTGTATTACCGACCCTGGCTGGTCTAGTTTAGATTGGTTCAGTTGAAGTCATTGCCAAATTTTCCTCCCGTCGTGGTTATAGTTTTATGGCTTCTAGTTCGCGCGGGTTCACAAAACTACGCGCTAAATTACGACCCTGGCCCCCCTCCTCAGTCATGCATAAATTTCCCTTACTATATGAACCCTGATCACGTATG